GTACTTACAAGTGCACCCGCTCAAATTGCCTTCACCAAGCCAGTGTGACACATCTGTTTTCCTGCGCTGTACGTTGTTGTTTTGACATCAGCGTTAGTCTCCAACACGCTCAATTCTCATTCCTCTGCTAATGAAATGGCCGAACGTAAACAATACGCATTGCCATTTTCTGCCGGTCATTATTAACGCTTATGGCCTTTTTCTTAATTTAACATGCATCATAAAGTTCACCTGAGACGGACAGAAATTACATGCGCGGCCATGATTTATGCGGCAGGACGCCGCTTCTTACGTCCACACTGCCCTGGCAATCGTGATAGCGCCCGTAAGCCGCAGAAATGATCTTCCTTTTTGAATTTCACCTTTCTCCCAGATTTTCCGGAAAATTTAGAGAAAGGCTGCAATTTGTTATGAAGCCGGGATGTTTGGTGTATTCTTCACTAGGTATTCAGTCATGTTGTATGGCTCCGTGTTTCTTTGTGTTTGTATCGTTTCAGTTTCATTTGAATCATAACATTAGAATACTGTCATTTTGTATGACAAATTCTCATGTATTCTTAAGAAAGAGGTTTGATAGACAGAGCTACCTCAGAAGGCATAACATAGAATATTTCACAACATATGACACGAGATCCTGTAGTAGTGCATTTGCCACAATCGGCACACACACAGCATTCCCATATTGTACACATGTAGCTGAGTGTTCTTTACCCTCATTTTGTTTCTTATAACTGTGTAAGTACAGAGATTATTTGTGTATTTCAGATATCTATTGTGAATGTAATTTAAGTGGAATGGACGGTAAAATAAATGTTGATTGATTGATCCTTATATAGAAAAAATTGATTACACGTGTAAATGATTAGATCCGCAATAGTACATGAATAGCAACGAACCCAGTGTTCATGATGTTCCTGTAACTTGAGATAATTCTAAGTACACTTATTACTAAACAGCTTAAACAAAATTATTTCCTGTAATTTTATCATTCTACAATTTGGAAAATGGCATATGGAAAATGGACTTTTGGAGATGGCACATAAAACACAAAAATGGTGGTGTGTTTGTTAATCCTTTAAAACTCACGCACACAGGTAAAGTCCTTTTTAGGGAATCCTCTTTAGGGGATTTTATTTTTTTACACACACATTATAATTCATTATCAGTTGTCATAGTCAAACAGTTTCCATAAAGCTAAGGTTCCAAGAGCTAATGGACTGGATTTTGGATGAGAAATCTGATTTGTTTCAGTGTCTATAGTCATGTATTGAATGCCTTTCTCCAACTTCTATGATTGAAGGTTCTTCCAGCAAAATCAAGTCAACACGTTATGCACATTGTACATGTATGTGGACATCATCACTACCAGTGGCTGTATTCAAGCAAACTACATGTAGGTTGCTGTAAAAACAAAGTGTTAAGGTTCTATCATCATTGCCTTTTATTTTCCATGCAGGTTGATGCAGCAAAGATGATGAACTCGTCGACGGCGGACATCCCACTGTCGGAGCAGACGGCATCGTATCCCGTCAACAGCAGCACATGCATGCAGGCGGGCGCCGCGTGGCCCTACCCAGCCTCCTCCTGCAGCAGCAAGGACGGCAGCGTGGTCGGACAGGACATCGGGATGAACGCGTACCACCAGCCGGACATGTACGGGAACATGGCCGCGTACCAGGACCCCAACGGCGCCCCCTACCCCCCACCTCAAAATGTGCAGCAGATGCAAATGAACCATCACCACGGCCAGCCGCCCGTCATGAACCACCACGGACCTATGAGCCACCCCGGCTCCATGAACCACCAAGGCGGCATGAGCCACCACCCCATGGGTCCCCAGCCCGGCCTGCAGCAGGGCATGGGCGCCATGCAGGGGATCAGTCACCATGGCAACCTGCAGCAGGCTGCGTCGCCCGTGTACGCAAACCACCAGAACAGGAACTTCCGAGCGAACAGTGCTCCATCCCTGTCCCGGACCTCCTCCTCCCCAAACGTGCAGGGCGGGAGTCCCATGAACGGCTACCCCGCCGTCAGCAGCCCGTCAGCGAACACTACTGTAAGCACGCCGGGCACAGCCTTTCCCACCCACCCCTCCACGTCCTGTAATGTACCACCAACACCCGTTCCTGCCTATTCTAGTGCATCAAATGCAGGTTATTCCAGCGCACCAACAACTGGCTTTGCTAATGCACAGTCCTCCGGATATTCCAATGCACCAAGTGCACATGCACAGGTAGGTTGGTAGGGACCCACTTAAGAGCACCCAGTTACTTTCACTTCAACCCTCCCCCGCCCCCTGATACGGCTGTAGATGGACACTTCCTGTCATGGTGGTCACTCTGCTTGAGCCAGCTTAGCAGCCAGAATAATTGGGAAGGTTTTATCCTCATAGCTGCAGTGTACAGAGGGATAGTATGATTCATTATACAAATACATAATGATAACTACATAGTATATACAGGTACATGCGAAAACAAATACATTTGCAATGAAGTTAGGTAATATACTGAGGTTGTAAGAACATATATTTTGAGGATCAAATCTGGACTATCTAACTAATAGCTTGGAAACTGTCGCTACATTCATTTACTGGCAGTTTCATTACCCATGATCCTGTGCGGGATGTTTTTGAAGATCTGGAATGAGGTTATGACTCGTAGGGGAAGCGATCCTTAAGCTGTCATGCTTCTGAGGTGGAAATGTCCCCATCGTCCGACAGACAATTTGCTTATAAATAACAGTTTACTTGGAGGAAATGGACATGTAGACAAGACAGTGGTTTGGGATGATTAGGATGAGGTCACCTTTGACCTGTACTGTTCCCTGTTTGTGTAAGAATGGGAAAATTATTGAAGGGCAAAAAAAAGTTCATTTTAAAGTGCTGTCTTGTCTCAGATTTTTCCATATTTCCAACATTCTGGTTAGGCCACACCAATTTCAATTTTTGGTTCTCGGATTTGAGAAAATATAATGCTATACTGAAAGATCAACATTATAGCACACTCTAAAGGTAAAGTCTTATTCATTGACTTTTAGCAAATGAATGTAGTCAAAATTAAGGTACTTATATTATACCTAAAAATGTGTGAAAAAGGACGTAATTGGTGTGGCCTGCCAAAAGTTTGGATGTATGTCTGACTCTCCTGTATTACATGTTTTGTCTCTACAGTCTGGGATCTACCCAACACCAGCCTCCTCCCTCAAGAGAAAAGCCTCATCAATGGAAGGAGGTAAGTCTTCTGATCCTTCATTCTAACTTTCCAGCTATGATTTTACCTCTCTGAAAATGAAGGTGTTGTTTTTGGTATGCCTGTTTGTCTGTCTGTGTTTCTGGATACTATGGACACCAATAACTTAAGCTATGAGTGATGGTAGGTCTAGGGAAGACGAAAGTCAATGTTGATTATGAGTCTCCTGGTTTATTCCCATGGTATTGTCCAGTTACCAGTTACAGCATTCTTGAAGTACAGGTACATAATATTTTTCATGGTGGTAAAAAGACATTGACGAATCAGACACAGCCTCTGTTATGAAACATCCTGATTTATCCCATGATCTAAAATGGTGACCAGTCAGTATAAAATACGGGAGGGTAACAGTTTGCCTGGAATGTGATTATAGTTGTAAGGTTTAAGATGTAATTAATTCACCAACATTGGACTTGAGTTAAACACCACATCTTCAATGGAGATTGTTATAGGCAAACCTGAAGTCTGCCATGTTCATTTTGACCTGCAGAGCAAAGGTCAGGTACTAGGAGGCACTGTTACACACCAATATATATGTAGCCCATGGTAAAATGTTAGTTGGTGTGTCTGTAGTATGGAACAGACCTTTTCACATACTCTTATTGATGTTGTTATAAAAGAACTATAAATTAAAGAACATTATCTTGTTTTTATATATCAATAAAACCATTTGAATCCTAATTACAGTCAAATCTGTATAAGTGACCACAGGTTATAGTGTCTAAGGTGTTCGTTTTACTGCATTTCTCCTTGAAAGTATCAGCTCTTCATGGAGCTGTCGGACCATGAAGCCCTGTTCATCCCCTGGTCTCCAACCTTTTGAATAGCTGATGCGGCGCTGTATTTACTGAAGAATATCACCATATTGGGGGCATATGTCTTTCCGAACATCCTCCCAATTCCTGATTGGTGAGGCGGTGGTTCTAAATGTCAGCGACGTGATTGCCATAGGAAATAATGCACTCGTCCCACCAAAGCACTTTTACAGCCGGCTTGGATGTTATAGGATGGTCAGGTAACATTGGTTGGTTTAAAATACAGAGAGCCCTCAGTAAAGGAGATAGATCGGAATGAAGACCTGAAAAAGTATCAGTTTATCAATGGTATTTTTTGAGCAAGAGAATACATGTCCAACAGTGACAGACAGGAGCCTGAATAGAAGGACATTACAACAAATGTCATGTGAAAATGGTAACATAGACCAAAGACATTTTAGCAGTCAAAGTAACATCTATACAATGTCAAGTTATTATTCACATTTCAAACATGGATTCTAAATGTTTCAAATGTGAATTGTAAAATTCAGCTGTCCCACGCTTCTTAAAGCGTGGAACAAATGCACCAGTGTTTCAAATGTTAACCTCACATTCTAATGATGGCAAAACGTGGTAAAAACTGACTATTTGTTGTCCCAAGTCTCTTCTACAGTTCCGTGGTCAGACCTTTGCTTACAGTTGTAGTATAACAATCTTATTAAACTAACAAAAGGTAAAAGAACTAATCAGAAAGCTGTGTATATAGTTTCTCCTATGGAAAGAGTAAGGATGGTCAGACTAAAGTGTTGTAAAGTCCATCAGTGCATTAAATAGGGATGGACCTGCATCACACAACATGAAGTTGATGATGATTACAAATTTTATTCATGAGACTCAGAGAGAGAGATGCTCTGATGAACTGCATTCTACACGACAGCCTTGATTGCACATAACGGGCTTCCTCTTTACAAGGACAAAGACTCGTCTACGATAAGGTGGACGACAAAATATTCATTATAACATCCACCATTGGAAGTACGGAGAGCCTTGCCATCGTCGTCACTTCTCATTAATTTCTGGAATTTACAGCCAGTCTGGTAGGAGACAGGCTGGTTAAAGTTTCCTCAGGTATAATTATACCACAGGGAAGACCATCATTTGGACGAGGCAGCAGAATCTCAATAACCTCTGGTGTCCATAACGGTTTTGGTGATCAACGAAGCGTTATGACATAAAGAGTTTTGTTTTACCTCCGTGAAAAACGGAGGTGGAGTTTTGTTTCTTTCGATGCGAATAAGTCAAGAAATGAACAACGGATTTTCATGATTTTTGGCCTGTATGTAGATTATGCAGAGATGTACACAATGTTGCCAATCATGTAAAATGAGACTTACTTTAAATGATTAATTAGGAAATTCTATTTTTCCAGTGTTTTTCATTTATATATTTTTTTGGAAGAAGAAGCATGCATGCAGCAAAAATCAGACATGCCAGAGGATTCTGATTCCGTTCATCAAGTACAAACTGTTTAAGGCTGGTATAGTCTATAGGTAATAGGATATCACTTTTCATCACTGACATCAGAGTGAATTTGAGCTAAGGAATTATCCTGTTGAATTTTCCATAACTGGATTGTATGAAAATATCACCGCCATCCCCCAAAAATCTTTCACAAAGTCATGACTTACATCTGGAACAAATATCAAATCTGCATGTACATAAAATATACTGTAGATCATTAGTCCTTATGTGATATATTGGATCATAAAAGCTGATCTGAAAAATACTGAAGGTTAAACTGTCATCACTGAAGGGCTATAAATGCCAGAAAACCTGGAGTAAGGCCACACCAGTTATATTCCTGGTTCTAGGTGTAAAAAGTATAATGTTGACTGAGAAGATCAACTGAAGACAGAACAGAATCAGAGGGGGAAATCTGTATTTAATTTATAGTACACACAGCTTCTTGGGATGATTTTAGTAATGTAAAATAACTGTACATTCATTTGTTCATTTTTGCAGGGACTTAATTTCGTGGTAGGAGGGAGTGAAGTTTGAAACAATAAACAAATGGAAACCCATATTCAAGTCACCACGAGTTGCTTTAGAGAGGCCACTGTCCAAAAACGAAAAAAAAAAAAAAAATAGCAACACCACAATCATTTCAAGATGTATACTATCATGGTCACCAGAACCCTAACGTACCCTTTAAGCTTTTTGGGTGGCTCTTTTTTTAAGGTTTAAAAGTTCCTCCCAAGTTGACATGGTTCTGGAAGTCCTGTATGTTTCGTTCCAGTTAGTCAACTTACACTCAACTGTTATAGGATCTAACAGGATAAAGTGGATTAATACCTTGGGAAGCTGGGTATTAACTGCCCTTAAGATAGCAGCAATGTTTGTTTTTTAATGGTTGTCAGTCTTCCTTGGTGGTAGAGCTGGAACCTATTTGGAGTGTGGAGAAGGAATGCACTCCCTGTCACCCAGAGTCATGACCAGTGGAGAAACCTGACAGGTCTGCCTAGGGGACACTTCAAGATCAAGGCTACAGAAAAAATAAAACCTGTTTTTAGCTAGGGCATGTCTGATGCCAATGTATATAACTTAAGACATGAAAAAGATTGAGGCAAGATCTGTATCTTTACTCTTCCAGTTAAAATGTTAGGAATCCACAAAATCTGGAATTCAATGATTTGAAAAAAGTTTTCCTTTAAATTTTTTTACTCATTTCCACAACAAACAAACATTCAACAAATAACAAACAGAGCCTTCCTAATTGCAGTCAATGGAAATTAAACATAAATTCTACTACAAACTATTGAGTACATTATACATGAAAAAAAGGAATAAAGTATATTGCTTCAAAAAGTTTTACATGAGGTACCCCCCACTTACCCTTACTTTAAATTTTAAAACAAAAGTACAAATCTATTTTGCAACTTGATGCAATGAGAGACAATATGTACATAGACTACATGGGATTTGAGCGGGATTTGAAAATATCACTGTAGTGTAGGTTTTGCTCCCAGCACCCTCCATTGGAACTGCAGGCACATTTCTGTTGCAAAGAGTTCATATTACATCAGTTACTGTTTATCAGTTAGAAAAGAAGGTGCACATTCTCTGCTGTACCCACTCAAGTAAAGGATTTGTCATGCAGATCAGCTTTTCCAAGCAAACCAAAATGGGTGTTTCTGGCCTTGAATACAATTGACTTATCGGTTTTCTGGTTCACTAGCAACCTATTAAAGTTTTTGAATAAAGTCTATACCATGTTGATGAGTTGGCTGCATCGTTTATGACTAGTTAATGATGCAATTTCAGGTAGAGAGTAGAGAAGAAATCAGTAAAAG